CGGTGGACGTGTTTCCACGTCGAAGTTCAACTTCTGCGCGCCTAACAAAGTGAAAAAAGGTTACTTCTACAAACACAGATTGGGTGGATAGTGTAACACCTGACTAGTCTGCCCACCTCTGTAAATGAAGCCGAAAACACTGAACAAGTTATTTAGTATTGGTGTGTCCGGATGGACATATAGAACACTGATAATATTGCCGGCAAATACCAGGGAGACTGAAATGGCCACTTCTGGCGTATGAACCGTCGTTAGAAATTCAGACCCAGCCCCAAGTGGTACACCATTCGAGGCTCGAACTCACGACCTTTTGATCAGAGTCTAACGTCCTAACCATTAAGCCACGAGCCCGTTGTCTTGCCGGTTTTGGTCGGGAGATATTGACACTCGTTGACGCACGTTCACCGACGCCAACGGAACTCACTTGCCCCACTCCGCCTTTGCCTTGCTGAAAATCAGAAAGCTTACTGAAAGCTATGGATTTCTCTGTCAAAAACAAACTAGGTCAATCCAAGGACCTAACAGTCGCTGAACCAAGACTTTCCTCGCTCGGTATCCCACATTCTCAATCGAACTCGTCATGAGAAAGGGCCACCGCCTATGATGAACTTAAACGAGAATCCGAAACCACATGTGAATTTAAAAAATTGTTTTGCTGGCTACTACAGCTCCCAGTTGTAAACAAAAAAGCCATGTAATCTGTCCTCGCTACTTAATTTATTAAAGTAGCTTGAAATAGTTGACGTTCGTGGCGCACATGTCGGGGCTTGGCCCTAATTCCTATTACAGTAGTCGCCGGTTATTAAGCCCACGGTTAATAGGCCCAGCCGCTTATTTAGCCCAATTTGGTCTGGGAACGAGGTGGGCTTAATAACCGGCGACTGCTGTAACTGGAAACCAGAAGCATGGCCGGATTTCATAGACGAAAGAAGACAATAGCATCCAGGAGTGCAAACCGGATAAAAACAGCACCAACGTACCTGAGGGTGGCCTCCCAGGGACAGAATAGAGACAGCGAGTTGACAAGACGATCACAGTCAGAAAGGTCCGTGTGTATACGAAGAGCCTGTTCCAGTTGGGTCTCCAAACAGGCCCTCCTGAACGAGCCCTTCTCGATAAACCGACCCAGAATTTGATCTGCCCGGTTCATCAGCTCTAAAGCTTCCGCGGGTTTACCCTTTAAACAAAAAATGATTAGGCATTTTAGTGCTAATTAGACTAAATATACTCATTAGAAGCAATAAACGCAGCAGTAAAATTTACGCAATTGAAAAATACGGTCAGCACTCGAGAAATTTCTAAGAGTAATAAGTATCTGCCATTAGACACTTACAAACCGTGTCAACCTATTATATTTTCATTATCTATGCAAGTCCAATCATTAAAAAGCAGCGGTTCGGTTGTTAATTATCAGCCTAACTCACTGAAATTATTTTCAAGATGCCTGCAGGAAATATCCCCATCAGAGGGATGACAGTGCGGTGGTGTTTCTTGTGATGCACAATTGAAAAATATTTTTAAATAAAGATTAAGTTGTTTTTACCCAAGAAAGTTACAACGGGTAGTGGAGAAACGCCACAGAAAGTCAAATTAAATACAGCAAGTATTTGCTGCGGATTATTTTACACATTCCTGATCTCGGTTTCAAGGGATATAAACCAGTTATTGTTCAGAATTGCTGTGCCTCTTAAACGGACCGCACGGTAGACACACTGGACGAACATGAGGGCCAGATTAGGTTACGGCAGGCGTTATTTGGGTCGCGCACCGAAAACAAATGTCGAACATAGGGGGAAGGCGTGGTGGCACGCATTGGAGCGACCTCGGTCGCGCCAGCCACCAGCGCTCGAACCCGCCTTCGGTCTTCTTGACGTTGACTTCACGCCGGGCCCAGGTTGGTGGGAGAAGAGAGAGTGGGGTAGATGCCGCGCAAACTCCCTACCAATTAAAACTAGTTCACGCGCAATTCACCGTCCCTGCACCACCCTGTCGTAGAACCTACGGTGGATATCGTCGAAATCG